GATGGCCAAGGTCCCCCAAGCTCGCATTTATGTAATCCTGCATGGGAGGACTGTAAGTCGCTTGCCAAATCCTTTTTGCAACTTAATTTTACTTCTATTCCTAATGAACCCTGATATACTTCTGATCACAGCTTTAAGTAGCAATTTTATACTGATTGTTCACCATTAAATTGCAAACACAGTAAGTCTTGACACAGAACATCATATTCTCTGTATTCCACACTAACAAGTCACCTCCCTCACTGCTGCCTCATGCTGGCTGTATTTCACAGCTGAAGCGATGGATCACTCCATATACAAACAGGTTACAAACCACAGCCTTTAATAGCCCTAGAAACACAGCTATTTCAGAAAATGCACTCAGCTCTGTCCCTAAGGCAAACAGTTCTAGGAACTCTGAAGTTACTGCAGACCAGATAACATAGTAAGTTGTCTCAAGAGTCAGCCTAGTCTTAAGGTTGTGGCAACTCTGAACTTACAAAAAGCTTGTTCCTACATTATCTCCAGTGCACCTACAGGGGGAAAGACGTGTATTAAGCTTCACAGCTTTCCCGCTTCAATTACGGGCAGACGGCTCCTGGGTCACATTTCAGTCCTGAAAAAGTCTCCAACAAAACTAGGAAGACACATCGCAGAGTTCCTGATAATTAAAAAGCAACCCTCTCCTCCATCAGCCCTGACATGGGCTATCAATCCCTCAGCAAGTGGGTAGGAGTGCAAGTCCTGTTAACGGTGACCAAGAAACAGGGGTGGGGAGGAACTCACTGATGCCAATGGGGAGAGAAAAAGCAGCTCAGGAAGAATGTGCACGTGTTTTCCTGATGTCCCACCCAACAGCACTACACAGCTGGTGCCTACGTCACCTTTCTGCAGCCTGTGAGTAGGACAGTTTCTTTAGTAGCATGTCCCTAAAAACCCGTATGCTACAAAGTCCAGCTCTGACACTACAGCAGTAATACACATCCCACTAAAAGACAGCAGAACATGAGGCTTAATAAAGAAACAGCATTTACAAAGCGGGTGAGAAAAGACCTCTTCTTTCCTCTATGCCACCTGTAGTTACGTGCTGGCATAAAGCTTCTACTTTGACCTGGTATCCAAGCAAAGCTAATTGAGTTCAGCTGTGAAGGCTCGTTAGCTGGTGCACTTGCTCTATAAAAAGCTAG